CACTCATGTGCGTTCAACAAATGCAAAACTGTTCAAACCCTTGTTGGTAAAGAAGGAAATTGCAAGAAAAATAAGTGTTTAGGTACAGCGAGATAGTATCGCTATTTGATTATAGTCAAACTGTTGGGCATTGTTGGTTTGTCGTTTGAACAGCAACAAAATTAATAGCCACAGGCTTCACTCCTCAAGCTTGCTAACGGCAGCACACATGGAGATGAAACTTGGTACCCATGTGTAAGATATACATAGTAGTGTATAAAAATGAGTATGGGCGCCGCGCGCCACTTAAATGGCGCGCGCGTAATTGCTCAGCAACGCCACGCGCCACTGCACTATGTATTACGCGGATGGGCGTTGCAATATTCCGCGCATGCGTAATTCCGCGTACGCGGAGAAATTTCCGTAATACTAGGCCAACGTTTTGGGGTCCCCCCCTTGAATCGTCCCGTCAGCTTTTTCAAAGGTTGGCCATCTCCCTATGGAGAGGGAATGCCACCGCCTGGATCCATCGATGCCAGCCACCTGCCCCTTTCCTAGACTGTGTGGTCTGAATGCCCCCCTTCGGCCGGGGGTGTTTCCGTGTGTGGTTATCTTTGTGTTTTTTTTGTTTTTTTTGCTTGTTTTTTGTCCTTTTTTGCTCACTATCATTGTGTAATTTGCATTCCCTAATACTATGCGGCGCGCAAAGTGTTAAATATCCTGCGAATTTGAAAAAGAGGCATATAGGGATGGTATAAAATAAGGGAGACAAGATAGGGAGGGGATAAATGAAGCATGGTTAATGAACAGATTTGAGCACACTGACACCCCCAACCCTATCAACTCTTCGATTATTTCTATTATCAGCTCCACCCCATATATAGGTATTATTGAGTGCATGCGCTAGTTGAAACAATGATTCATCCACAGAAACAATGATTCCAATCATCAAAGAAGATACGCTAGCAATGTCAGAAAAGTCCTCCCAGTTCCTGCTGTTCCTTCATAAACACCTCAAAATACTGGTAGATGATCGTTACAGCTAGCAAGATGCCGGTCCCAGATCCAATAGCTCCTGCAGATTAGAACGTCACAGTAAAGTGCATTTGTATTGGTTCCAACCATACCCATGAAATCAGCCAGCACTGACAGAGCCCCGATACACAGACCACCAAAAGCAGCAGCTGTCGGAATGTATCGATTGAGCTCATGCACCATGGACTGCTCCCGATGACCACGCATCACCATTTGCTGGTCCTTCAGCTGCTTGGCAACCTGTACACAGGTATCACACTGGCGCACACCATAGCAACCAGTATAACACACACATCCTTAGCTGAGCTTCCAGACACATCAATCCAAGTCTTAGAAAAGAAGGCACAGGAGCCGAGCATGAAGGAGATGTACATGATGGCATGGATAGGGTCGTCAATGACACTGCCCAGACTCTCGGGAGGACTCAGGTAGTAGCAGAGACCGCCCGAAGGAAAGGACCGGGCAGGACCTCCTCCTCCGGCTGTGGTCCACACCCCGAGCAAGTCCACCAGCAGATTGCCTCCAAAACGGGAGTAGAGCATCTGCAGTTGGACCACAGCTCTCATACACTCCACTGCAAGAGGCGCATTATATATACCTGTGAGATGAAGTAGAGGTTTGAGACCAGAGCACTCTGTAGGATGATGGGAATATTAGACGTGTAGAACAGCTTGATGGGATAGGAGCTGTACTGGCCACGATACCGGGCACTCTTGATGGGGAGGTCCACTCGAAAACCCTGCAGATACACAAAGTTGCTAGCCTCAAAAGAGCAACTTCCTGTATCCTGGATACCTGGAAGTATATGACAACAGCAAACACCAGGACAGTGGCTGAAAGGTTGAGGAGGTTCGGCAGGTTATGACGGTAAAAGGCTTCACGAAGAGCGCGGATCTTATCGGATCGAGTGGCCAGCAAATGGAAGAGGGCAATGACTGCCCCCTCAAACTCTGTTCCTCGACCTGTTGGCAGCCACAGCATTTCTCAACTGGTGAGAGCCAGAGAGAAGACCTACCAGTATTGATAGTGGCAGGGCTGAATGACTTCCACACAATAGTCTCACAGATGTTGGTGGCAATGAAGAGAGAAATGCCGGAGCCAAGACCATACCCTTTCTGGAGTAGCTCATCCAACAGCAGAACAACTAGACCAGCACACAGTAGCTGTGGAGGCTGACTGTGATAACAAGTGGATACAATTTAGTAGCGTGGCTCACCTGGAGGATGATGAGGAGACAGACGCCAGCCCCCAGTTCAGAGGGAGCTCCATACATTCCCGTCATGACATAGACTATTGACTGGCCAACGGTGATCACCATACCAAACACTGCAGCAACACATACATATGAAAGAGATAAGAATCCCTCCAACACAACTTACACTTCTGAGCTCCATTGAAGAGTGCTCTGTCCTTTGGAGTGTCCCCAACCTCTAGGATCTTGGCTCCGGCTAGCAGCTGCATGATGAGCGAGGAGGTAACAATGGGAGAGATGCCCAGCTCCATGAGGGTTCCTCGGTTGGAGGCCATGATGACTCGCAGCCAGTAAAACGGGTCAGCACTGTCGGAAGACATGATCCCAAACAGTGGTATCTAACACAACAGAATGGGTGACCACTGAATCATGAAGTCTAGATCGCTCACTGCTCACCTGGCAACAAACCAGGAAGATGAACAGAGTAATGGCAGTCCATAACAGCTTCTCCCGGAATTGGATCTGAGGAGAGAATAGGTGAGCAGTGGCTAGTTTCACGAAAATCTGAAAACCCACACCTTCCTCTCCGGTTTCGACACTTCGGGAAGAAGGGAAATGAACGGTCGGAGAACCTCTAACACCTTGACTGCACGGCGACACGGGGAAAGGTAATATGACACGTACTTAAACTCTGACAAACTTACAGCCCATGCCTCAAGCTTTTCAGCGTTCAAAGACACCAATCAAGCCTTCGGTTTTTGTCCGCCACACGCTCGCAGCCACAGAACAAAGCCAACGTGGTTGCTTCCGTTGACTCGGCGTGCGCGGAAGATTACGGGAAACACGTTCCCGCTGTGGGCGTGAGAGTAAAAGATGGCGAAGAGACCGTTCGGAGGGGGGGAAGGCTCGGTGCCTCCTGCTGCCAAGCGTACGTCTTTAGCTGCCATGTCTCCTATTGATATTGGACCAGCGTGCGGCGAGGAAGACTTGAATGTCAAGGTTTTGCAAGTAAGACAGCGGTACCTGTCTACATAAGTTACTAGCTCCGTATGTGTCTCCAGGTGCAGAACAAAAAGCTAAGTGAGCGGCTCAGAGAAAGGAACTTTGCTCGAGAGCAGCTGGAGGCTCGTGTTGAGGAGGCAGAGAACAGAGTAGAGGAGCAGCGTCTGGCGCTGGCGTCTCTGCCTCGCCACCTGCAGGCCGTGAGAGACCACCTGACTCCACTCCTCCCACCCCAGCTCTCTCTGGACGGTCTGGCTCGGGTCTGGGAAGAGGCCAGACCAGAGATGTGTCTGGAGGAAGGATTTCGCTGTATGTTGACTGCTCTGAAGACCCTGGAGCCCAGGCAGGGAGGGGAGGAGAAGGAGGTGGAGATCCCGCCTCCCTCACAGCTGCAAGAGGAGAGTGACAGACTCCAGGACGAGGCCAAAGCTCTGCAGAGTCGCTGTGACGAGCTGGAGAGTGCTTTAGCTGATGCCAGGTAAGCTTATGAAGTGCCATTTTGGTCTCCCAAACATCCGATTTTTTCTGTTGGGGTTTGCTATATTGCCCTCTTTGTCTGCAGGTTTGACTTGGAACGCAGCATGTCTCGTGTCCAGAGACTAGAGAGACAGTTGGCCGATGCTGTTGAGTCTCCTCCGGTGACATCACAGACCGGGAGCTTTGTCCTGCCAGCCAGCTCTTCTCCTGCCGCAAACCCTCCTCCCAATGCAGAGAAGACCTCCACTGAAGACGTTAGCATTCCTTATGTGTATATACAATACCATTATAGTGGCAATTACAGGTCGGGAATCTGTCAGCTGAACTTGAGGAGGCGAAAGAACTAGCTGATAGCAGACTGAAAGAAAGTGAACAACTGAGTCAGCAGATTGTGGAGCTGCGGGCAGACTTGGAGCTAGCAACAGAGGCAAAGGCAGTTCTGGATGTGGAAAACAGCACTCCTTACCTCACTCTTCAGTCACAGTTCTCCATCATACAGCTAGGTAAGGGAGGGGAGGAGGAATGGAGGGAAAAGAGAGTTATCTGTTGCAGAAAACAGCCAGCTGCGGTCGTCGTTGGAGGAGCTGAAGAGCCTACTTTATGAGGCCAGAGCTCATCATTTCTCTCAACTGGATGAGCTGAGGTCTGTATGTAATATGTGAGTACAGAAAGCTTCACACTATTAGTTGCCTTCTGTTGTTTAATTACACTAGCATTATTTTGTTGGTCTCACCATCTTGACAACAGCTGTGTTACGTGTTTGTTAGAACTGAAGAGGTGAAGTATGAGAATGAGGTGAGGGAAGAAATGGCGCAGCTAGAGACACTCCTGGCTACCTCCAAGAGAGACTACGAACTGCTGCGAATAGAGTTTGAGAAGAGAATGGCCGCCAATGAGCAGGCAGCTCCTCTGGCCAAGTTAGTTGACCCTAGCCTTTCTCTCCTCATTCCTCTCCTCCAGAGAACTGCAGGTGACTGTTGGGAGTTTGAGGAAGACAATCTCTCAATTGAAGAGTGAGGTTGAAAGGTGAGACTTCCTCTCTCTGTGGCTGAGTGTGAGGGGCATGAGCTACAGGTACAAGACAAGGGCCCACAAGGCAGAGGGCAGGCTTGCAGAAGAGGCCAGCAAACAGAAGACTACCAACCAGCCAAGTGTCGAGGTACTTGCAGAAACTGCCTCCAGCCATTCTACTGCTGAAGACCACCAGCAGCTGGTGAACAAGGTGCCCCTCTATGATTGGTTGGTGGTGATGTAATGATGACATCATTGTTTATATCAGGTGAAGACTTTGCAGGAGGAGAAGAGGGTGTTGGAGGAGAAGCTCAAGGTGTTTACCCACAGCAGTGAGGACGAGAGAGAGAAAGCACTCATCATCACTAGTGAGAAGAAAGCTAGGGGACAGGTGAAGACAGGTTACACCGTAGTGATTGTAATGAAGGGTGCCGCAATGGGGATTGTAGGTGGAGGAGCTGCGGAGAAAGTGTGAGGAATTGAGGAGAGACTACGAGAAGAGGAAGGAACACCTGAAAGAGGAGAGTACTCGGAGGTGTAAGGCTCTGGCAGAAGACAACAAGCAGCTTCAGAGGTGGGTGTGTCCTGTTACCTAGGCAATGCTGTAAGTGTGCTTGCAGGGAGCTGGTTGCCAAGCGACAGGAGGCGCATGCTCTGGTACAGGAGATGGAGTGCACGGCGGAGGCATTTGAAGAGGTCCAGGAACAGAATGTGCGACTGCTGGACCAGATCAGAGAGAAGGATGATGCCAACTTCAAGGTCAGCCAGGATTGTAATTGTGTTTGTGAACCTCTTCAAACTTCATGAAGTTGTCATGAAGTTGTCATGAAGTTGTCAGTGCACACAAACCTGGCAGTGTGAAAAGAACCTCTTTGTCGACAGGTCATCAGTGAGAGGATCAAGGCCAGCAGCATGCAGAAGCTACTAATGGAAGAGAAAGACCTGTTGCATTCACAGATCTCTAACCTCACTCAGGAGAAGAATAGGTATATATTCCCGCACACCCTTACTTCCATATACGTACTCTCACACCCACTCAGAATGTCAGAGGTAATGGTAAGACTTGAGGAAAGAGACAAACACCAGGAAGCCTCATTGGTTGCCATGGAGAAGGACTTGGCACTCAAACAACAGGCAATGGAAACAATTAAAAAGAAGGTACCACTGTTTTCTAAAGCTGTCGTGTTTGTTGTAACCGCTGCATGGTTTGACAGGCCCAAGAGAGTGTTCTGACAGCCCAGAGTCTGCAGCTGGCAGTGGCTGGGGAAGAGAGGGAAAAGGAGAGTCACCGGGAGAAGCTACGGGAAAGGCAGGAGGAGAGAGAGAGAGCGGCACAGCAGTTGCGGAGGTATGTGGAACAGATGTTGAGGAGGAGGAGGGGTTCAGTGTGTTGATACATAGGTCTCAGGAAGAAGTGGCCAGCTTGAAGAGGAAACTGGAGAAGTACAAGTCACGTGATTGGGCATCTTCCTCAGACGAGGTTCTGCTTGAAGAAATAAGAACATACAAGGTAGAGTTGCCGACTAGTTGCATGTGAAGACTTGCACCAACACCCCGTGGTCTGTTGTGAATTAGGTGAAACTGAACTGCCCGTGTTGCAGTACTAGAAAAAAGGACACTGTGCTAACCAAGTGTTTCCATGTCTTCTGCTCTGAGTGCATCCGCAGCCGCTACGACTCCCGTCTGCGCAAGTGCCCAAAATGTGGTGCTGCATTTGGAGCCAATGACTTCCACAAACTCTACCTTTCTTAAAAACTTTAATTACAACAATGTGTACATGTAATCTATTGACATCAGTTTGTATGAATGCCAGCAGAATGGAGTGTGACCAGTTCGTAAGGTCTGAGGTGGGGTCTGATGGACGAAGAGAAAGACGGCAGCTGACAAATATCCCCCAAATACTTCACCAGATGTGCCTGCCAACGCCAACAGATACATAGCTATGGCAACACAACCACACTATGCGCATGTACCTGCAGGTCCATTTGGAGAAGTGGGTCGCCATGGAGTTCAGGGTCCTTGTCAAACTCCTCCGACTCCCCGTCTTCTGACGTCAGCAGAGACTCCATCTCTCTCACTTCCTCATTTCCCTCCTCTTCTGCACTGCACTCTGACCCCTCGCTCTCAGCAGAGGCCTCCAGATGTGACTGTAGATCACTCACCAGCAGACGCACAATCTTCACTGGCAGTGGAATTGCTGTCTTCCTTGTGACCCCTGCAGCAGAGAGAGAATGGAGAGCTTTTCTACGGACTAGAGCTAACCAGCTGCAGTCTTCTGTGCTCTGGTCTGGACACCAAGGCCACACCCATTGTCTTCCTCTTCCTCCACCACCACACTGCACAGTAGGTTGTTTCCCGTGGTAACACAGTGAGAGAGCAGCTGGCAGAGGGCTACAGTGCTGAGTCGAGTTTCAAATGAGCCAAAGAAGAAAGGCTGTGGAGGTGAGAAGGGTAAGTGGCAAGCAACTGTAGAAAACAGTATTATAGATTCACAAACTGACGACACCAGAGAATCGGACTAACATGTTGCGAGGTCCACTCTTTTAGTACATAGTTGAGAGCTGGCTGGCCACGAGGGTCTGGAACCTGACACAGGAATGAGACCACTGCCTCCAGCTGCGGAATACTAAATGTATGAAAGTGGGTGTGGCCAGTGGGTGTGGCTTACCTCCGTCTGCAGGAGGTAGGCATAGACAAGAAGCAAGCTTTGCATGACTGAAGCTGTTTTTACACTTTGCATCTTGCTGAGAACTGACCTCAGCAAAAGCTGGAGGTGATCTCCAAGCATCCCCCCTACCTGTGATAGTGATTAGAATTTTGAGCAAAATAGGCGGCCAAAAGTGCAAGCAAAATGGGCTGTCACTTTTACCCAACAGCAAAATAGGCAGACAATGACAATTGAGAACACTTCCACTAACCAAATACAGTATAGCACAAGAAAAGGTTAATGAACCTTACCTTGGAGCGAACAAGAGGAGTACTTTGAGCATACCTTAAGTGTACCTTGCAATTGACTACTTACCGAGTGTAGGTGGGTTTTTTTTGCAATTTTTATACTTAACTAAGAAGCAAAATGGGTACACTGAAAAATGGGCACAAAAGCAGGAAACATTTTGGTCATGGTCTATCAGTGATAAATAGTCTTCTCCTTGTCTCCCTCTCCCTTTTTCTCTGCTCACCTTCTTGAAGAAGACAATGAGGAGTCGTCCAATGAAAGCCGCAGAAGACTCTGGTCTGCTGGGGTCTAGCAGGTGGACCGCCAACCTCACCACATACAGCACTCCACTCTCCCCCTCCCTGTCACACCTGCACACCCCACACACCCTCACAACCTCAGTAACCACAGCAACACACTTACCACTGCACCAGGTCCTCCATTGCCATGGAAACAAAGGCTCTGACGCACTCCCCGGCATTCTGTAGCATAGCAACATCGTCTGAGGCCACACCAACCCTTACCACACGAGGGAAGATTTCCCTGACGACCTCATTGGGTACATTTCCAAGTCCACATCCTCTGACTAGTAACACCAGTACATCCAGCACTGCCTGAACTCCGTATCATAATGTATTGAGGGAAACTATCATGAGGCCCAAATATAGCAAGAAAAGCGTCTACTGTATGCGTATCTGCTGAAACTCAATGACAACAACAGTGGAAATTTGTGCAAGGGCACCAAAGAAAGTCCCCATGGTGCTACTCACTGGTAGGAGGCCAAGGGAAATCCCAGTTTCATTACTCTCCAACAGCTGCACTGCTGAGGGAAGGAAGGAGCGGTGGAAGTCAGCATGGCAACCGGGGTTATTAGCAAGGACAGAGAAGAGGTCTTCGAGAGAAGAGCTGAGTCCAGGATCTGAGGGGGCATGAGGTATGCAGGCTGTGAGGTGAGGAGGGGCAGAGACGTACCATGGGAATGTTTGAGGAAGAGGGAAAGGGCCACTTCCGACAGCTGCAGAGCATGCCGTGCTGTCACTGACTCATCCACCTGCACTCAAGACATACCTTTGGTTGTCATGGGAACAGGGGGGGTAACTTACTCTGGTAACCAGCTGCAGTGTATCTATGACAACCAGCAGGACAATGTCGGGCAAGTCTGCTGTCATGGCAGCCAGAAGAGAGATGAGAGAGGGGAGAATCGGCAGAAGGCGTGACGTGCAGTTCGTTGCTTGGAGTTCTGAGCAGAAACTGGAACAAGGCCATGTTTTGAGGGGAACAGAGAAAGGTTTACTTGCAGGTGGCCTTAGCAGCCAGAACTCTGAGGACAGAGTGTTGTGTAGGGAGAAGAGCCGTCACCAAACTCTGCAGGAGTCTGGAGGAGAGGCTGAATGTGTGACATCTTTAGATACTCACTGGTCCAGTGTCCCTGGTTTCAGCCGTCCCGCCATCTTCCCAGCCAGCCACAGACTCCGTCCCAGCAACAGGGGATTGCCTGTACACACACAGCTGTTGCCTTGGATACAGAAAATACAACCTCTGACCTGAGGGAGACTGTAAGGTTGACATGACAACTGACTCAGTGAACTGCTGGGCAGAGAAAGAGGTGTTTGGAGTCATGATGACACAGCCGAGAGCAAGCATACAGGCCTCCTCGATCTGTAAAACATTGTTGGTGCAGACATAAATCTTCATTTTGTTGTGACTTAGAAAAATCAACACAGCTTGAAAAATTAATTTGAATGCTCAAGAAATTGCCAATAAAATGTGAAACTTCAAAGCCTTACCTTCCAGGCATTAGGAGAGGAATTGCTTCGAGTGGTCTGCAGATGTTTCTCTACTGCTGCAGTAATGGCAGAGTGGGTGTGGTTCCTGAGACTAGGCTCCTCCCACATGGCCTCCAGTAGGTCGTGTGCGGAAAGTCGCACGGAGTACGAGAAGATCTGTTCTTCCTCATCTACAAACTGAGCCACGTCGCCCAGCCATCGCTCAACCTGCAGTGTTCCAATGAAGTCTGAGATGGAAGACGAAGGCTTACCTGACTGTGCGTAGGCTGCATGTGAGAGATGAGGTGGAGGGTGAGAGTTGGGAGGATGGGAGGAAGAAGGTCCCGCAGCTGCCGGCTCTCCACCAAACCAGAGATGAACTCAAACACAGCAAACACACATGTCTCCATGGTGATCAGTTCACCATCACTGTCACAGTCCTCACTCTTGTCACCCTCACAGTTGACCACACTCACCACATACCTGGCATACCAGAGTCAAGGGCCATCTGAAACAAGGGAAAGAGGGACGGGATACAGAGGAAGAGGAGGGAAAGAGAGAAAGAGGGACGGGATACAGAGGAAGGGGAGGGAAAGAGGGACGGGATACAGAGGAAGGGGAGGGAAAGAGGGAAAGAGGGACGGGATACAGAGGAAGGGGAGGGAAAGAGGGGAAGAGGGACTGGATACAGAGGAAGGGGAGGGAAAGAGGGAAAGAGGGACGGGATACAGAGGAAGGGGAGGGAAAGAGGGGAAGAGGGACTGGATACAGAGGAAGGGGAGGGAAAGAGGGACGGGATACAGAGGAAGGGGAGGGAAAGAGGGGAAGAGGGACGGGATACAGAGGAAGGGGAGGGAAAGAGGGGAAGAGGGACGGGATACAGAGGAAGGGGAGGGAAAGAGGGACGGGATACAGAGGAAGGGGAGGGAAAGAGGGGAAGAGGGACTGGATACAGAGGAAGGGGAGGGAAAGAGGGGAAGAGGGACGGGATACAGAGGTGTGTTTGCCAGAAAGATGTTCCAGACGGGAGTCACTAAATCCATCACAAAGGTTGCCATGGCAGCAGGAAACCAGCGAAGTAGAGAGGATGATGTCATCAGTAATTCCCTTCTAAGACCAGGGTCAGTAGCCCAGTCTTCTCCAGAGGACAAGACGTTTATGAAGGCTGTGAATTTCGCACATTAAAGGCAATGTGGGGCTAATTTACTGACAATGGAAACTTAATTGCATTCTTTCACTGGGCCCTTCTATCTTTATATTTAGCCCTTATGTACTGACACATTCCCTTTAATGAGATTTCATACCTTTATGTATGTATGCACTACTTTGATCAATCTTTGCTGGTCTTTTCAGCCTGTGCTGAAAGCCATTGAATGACATTCCATCTACTGTGCTAGGTTACCCACTTCCAACTGCATACCTCACTCATTGTTAGAGTTCACCCAGTGTGAAACTTTAGTTTTCAGTGTAATACTAGTGGAAACTTTGCCAATCCCTTGGTGAGTCTAACAATTCTCTAGCTAATAGTTCAGTTTTTTGATAGTGTTACTTTCAGAGTCTCACCTCGAACAAACTGAGGCAATGCAGGAAGAAGGAGGGATGCAGCTAGAGTAGGTGTTGTCTCACTAGCTGCATAAATGATACTGGCTAGAGTGTGGAATATGTGGACAGCTCTGCTCTGTGTTCTGGCCCCATACACCTGGAAAAAGAGAAGGTAGGGAGTGGGGGGAGGTGAGAGAGGAAGAGAAGAAGAGACCTGAGGATTGACCAACACTCTCAGAAGCTGGGGAAAGATGACAGGCGCCACATGGGGAACCTGGAGGTCTGACACATCTCTACAGAACTCTGCAGCAGGTGTAATACTCGGTTGAGGGAAGGGGAGGCAAGGAGAACAGAACCTGCCAGCACTCGCATGGCTCCATGTACCAGTCCTGTATTGCCTGAGCTCAGGGCAGCCTCCAGTCTGGGGAGAAGTTGGGGCCAGGCGTCAGGCCAGTCCCAGTGGGCTATCACTGCCACACAGTATGCCTGCACAGAGAAATTCCCACACCTCAAGGCAAACTGTCCACTTTGTTGCGTGGACAAGTCTCATGCAACTCCAATGTATGGGTATGATGGTCCGTGTAACATGTAGACAGCACTTAATAATACTTCCATGCAACATGTCCCATGGACCATCATATGCATACATATTGTCTCATGCAACTCCAATGTATGGGTATGATGGTCCGTGTAACATGTAGATGGCACTTATACTTCCATACAACATGTCCCATGGACCATCATATGCATACATAATTGTCTCATGCAACAAAGTCGCAGCAGGCGTTTTGATATTGAGACACAGAGAGTGGCTCACCACCGTTGCTCTCAACCTTCTCTCTCTGTCCCCCAGTGTTGCCAGCAAGAGGTGCTTGATCTCCTCTTTCACCTGGTGAATTAGAGTAATCACAATCATTTCTTCCCCTCCTCGCACTCTCTCACGTGATCCGTAGCGACAGGTTCTGCAAATTTCTCTGCCAAACTGCTCCAATGGCAGTCCAGGTACTGCCTTAGCAACACGCTCGCCAGCTGTCGGTAGGCCAAACCAACTTCTCCAGAGGCGGTCAGTTCAGCCAACACCACTCCGTATTCTGGAATATGCACATCATTCATGCCAGCTGGTTTTCTTGCTCTTACCTACTGTGACTTCGAGAGCCTTCATCTCCTGCTCGGCAGCTCTCCTCTCTGCCCCTGACACGGCAGTCAGCACTGCCTCCAGGCAACCACTCACTGCCTCCCTCAGTGCACTCCTTGACATTCTCTCTCCCTTTCCTCTCTCTCTTTCACCTCAACATGCTGGCTGGGTGGGTGCGTGTGTTGCAAGCTCAGCTTAGTGACGTCATTATAAGGCTTCGTGCATCGTGAATGATGGCGGACAGAAGACTCCAAACACTTCTCGGTCATCTGCGACCAGACCATAGCCCAGTTCCAGCTGCCGTCTCAGCCTCAACCTACCGCTACACAGTGTCTTGCGGCAGAGTCTTGAGCGAAGAGCAGCGAGCTGCGTACGAGAGAGATGGGTTTCTAGTGGTGCCTGGTCTGGTGTCCAGAGCCGACCTCCATACCTATACTGAGAGGTTTAGAGACCTCTGCACCGGTTTAGATAAGACTCCTGGCCTCACCATTATGAAGGACGTCAGCATCGCCAAATCAGAGTTCAGCAAAGACGAGAGGGCCATTACCAAACTCCAGAACTTTCAGGTAGGGCCCACCTGCTGACTCCTCTTACATCTCACCCGCCCCTTTAATTCTCAGCATGATCCTGTCCTAAGCAGGTATTTCTGTCTGCCAGCTATTCTGAGGTATGTGGAGTGCTTCACTGGTCCCGACATCATGGCCATGCACACAATGCTGATCAACAAACCTCCAGACCCTGGCCAGCTCTCCTCGCGCCACCCGATGCACCAAGGTGCTCCCTCACTGCCCTGCTCCCCCTATATCACTGTTACACACTCCCCTCAGACCTTCACTACTTCCCTTTCCGACCTGCGGACCGCATCGTATGCTCCTGGACTGCAATGGAACATGTTCACCGTGGGAATGGGTGTCTGGTAGTGTTGCCAGGCACCCACAAAGGGAGTCTGCAGCCTCACGAGTACCCCAAATGGGAGGTCAGAGATTTTCTTCTCCCTCTGGTTTGTTAATCAGCGTCCCCCTCTCTAGGGCGGTGTGAACAAGATGTACCATGGTATTCAGAACTACGACCACTCAATGCCGCGGCAACACCTGGAGATGCAGGCTGGAGACACAGTCTTCTTCCACCCTCTACTCATCCATGGCTCTGGCACAAACAGAACCTCTGGCTTCAGAAAGGTGCGGGAGTTGCTCAGCCTAATATGTCTTACTTCTTTCCCTACCCTGACAGGCGATTTCCTGCCACTTTGCCAGCAGTCACTGTCAGTATATTGATGTTGAGGGGACTTCGCAGCAGAACATTGCTGATGAGATTGTGGAGCTGGCCCACAAGAGACTTGGACCAGACGTCAAATTTACCTTTCAGGTTACTATGGAGTGTGACCATCGGACATTGTTAACTCTCATATTGCTCTGCAGGATACCTGGAAGATAAGGGGAGTGTGTGTCCAGGGAGAGAGGGACACTCTGTAGCTATATAGCTGCTTTTGTGTATTATTATATAAAACTGTGTGCACCCTGAGAGTTGCATTTGCTGTTTGTACTGGTGTCTTGTGTCTTGTCCAAAAATGGTTTTCCACGCACAAAGGCTGGTGGCCCATCGTTCTTTTTTTCGATGTCTGCTTCAAATTCTGAGCATTTGCTGTCAATTTTTTGCTTCCACTTTTACACTTATACTGTATAACAAGGTTGTCATTGTCTTGCTTGGCTGCAGACACCATTGTCTCGAGTGCATTGCCCATTGTGGCATTGTCGGTTGCGCGCAGTTCTGGCCGCGCGTATAATACAAAAGGGAAAGAGCGATGCTGGCCAGCGCTGACTACGTTGAGGTCAGTGAGAGCGAGTGGAAGGCCCTGCTGCCTTCCTACGGCCACGCAGCACATGTCATGGTCTACTCCACCTGGCCTGGCAGGTTCATGGATAAATACGAGCACAAGTTCGCTGTTTCGGTGAGCTCTTGCAACGGGTAGCTACAATACGAAGGCAAAATGCGTGTTGCTGCTCACGGCGCTACAGATGCAGCTCAGATTTGATGGGACTCTGGGTTTCCCAGGAGGCATGGTGGATAGTGGCGAGACTCCGGAGACAGCCGCAGGAAGAGAGCTTGCAGAGGTCTACTATAGCTACTAGCTGCTGCACATCCTGAAGACCCTCAGTTCACTGCCTCACTGCAGGAGACTGGCTGCCATGATATAGATGTGACACCCAGCAATCATGTGGTCACACATGTCTCTAAGAAAACCCAACTCTGTCTCCACTTGTTTGCGAAGAAGGTGAGAGCTCACCAACTATATGCCCACAGTACCTTTCACTCCTGCCTCGCCAGGTTAGTCTGGAACAACTGCATTCCATTGAAATATCCATGACAACTTCGTCATCATGGGGAGACGAGGTTCTGGGAGTTGTAAGAGTTCCTCTGTACACTCTGCCAAACGGACTGGGTCTGCCTGCCTTCCTCAGACACCAGTTCATTGGTACCAGTCGTCTGCAGCTGCTGGCTGGTCTGGAGACTTGCGGGCTGATGGACAATGAGGAGTTGAAGAAGGCAACCGAACTAGCAGATCAGAGCCACATCAATACATTTGTCACACAGGAAGACATCAACAACTACTAACACACACACATTTACAGACACCAATGATTAGAGCCGTCTTCTCTGAAGTTTCATCTTTTGCTCCACCGACTTCCTCTGTGATAGAATTCCCTGTGGTGGGCATGTTGTCATGGTAATATTGACTCTCACTCTCCCGACAATAAGTACTCAACTGCAATGTTCTTGTAGCATATTATGTAGGACAACAAAGAACATATCTACACTATTCTAACTTACAACCTGGAATTATGTACGCACGACAAACAGTATTGGTTTTGGGTATACCTCTCTGAGGACAGCAAGCTGGTTCAAGATCTGTTGTTGCCTGGCAACATTGTGAGAAGGGTGAGGGGGGAAAGGTGTGCCAGTGTGCTGATGAGGAGCAGGGAGAGTGGGGAGGGTGCATTGGTGGGTCTGGGGAGGCTGAACATGAAGCGAGAAAGCGTATTTCCGTGGAGGAGAGGAAGGTTTGGGAGATGAGATGTGTGGCTGGCGATCGGTTGCAGGAAGGCCCAGTTTCTTGGCAAGAGCAGGGACAACGGGAGATGGAGGGCGAGGCTGAGGGTAGGCGGGTCTGTTAGCAATCTCCATGGCAACAGCTGGTGGGTGAGAGGGTCCAATGATAGTGTGGCTGCTTTTTGTTGGAGCTCCAAAATTGGAGTTTTGCGAGAAAGTTCTCCGAGAGGCTGTGCGGTACGAGGGGAGTGGAATTCTGGGAGACAAGGAAATTAGTGAATTCCTGCTGCACAAGATTCTCAGACACACCTTGATAGTTTGGGATTTTGTGATGCCATAGTACCGTAGGTAGGCGCAGGTTGATGGACCTGCTGCGCGAACCTCTTCTGTTTCTCTCTGACAGCAACTTCTTCTGCCTCCTGAATATGTGCCTGTAGTTCTGCCTGCCAGAGTCTGGCCTCTTCCTACATACACCACGGCACAACCCCTGACACTCTCGCCTGCACAATAGACTCACTGCCTTCTGCTGCTTCAGCTCTCTCTCCCTCTCATTCCTTCTGTTCATCTCCTCCAGCTCTCTCCTCGCTCTGTTCTCTGCCTCCATCTCGTCTTCCTCTTTCCTCCGCTTCTCTGCCTCTTTTTGTCTCTGTCGCTCTGCAATCTGAGCTGCTAGCTCTGCCTGTGAACATACTTTATTTTTCAACGACTGTTTTTTGTGTAAAATGGAGCCTACTTTATGCATCTGCTCCTTTCTCCGCTGTTCTTCTCTCTGGGAGAGAACGAATGTGTCAACATGAGGCCCCAGTCCACGAGCAAACTGAGGTTTCTGAGGGGAAGAGCTGTGGACGGAGGTTTGCTGAGGAATGTTGTTCCTTGTCTTCTCCACCTCCTGGCCTCTTGTGCAGTAGTTGGTCAGCAAGGTACCAGACACTGTTCTAATTGGTGCACCTCCTCCCGGCCGGCCCCACGGACAGTATTCTTCACACTGCTGCGGATCTTTCTTCTTTTCCGCTTTCTGTGCATATCCCTGAATCTTATTCTGCATTCCTGGCATCTGATTCTGCAGTCCTGGGATCTGATTATGCATTCCTGGCATCTGATAATATTCCTGCAGTCCTGGGATCTCGGAAGGGTCAGGTCTGATGTGTGTGAGTGAGGGTGGCTGAAAGGACACTGCCATCCTCAAAAGCTTCTCCAACTCGCCCTTGCTGATCTCTACCGTGTCGCTGGCCCCCTTTTTCTGTTGCATCTTATCGTCTTTGACCTGCCACTGCCTTCCCCCAGCCTTACCCTCCTTACCCACCGCCCGACGGTTGCGGCCAATAAAATCTGGAGGATCCTGCGTCGCATGCATGGCATTTACCATACACTGCAACAACCCTCTCAGCTACACCTACCTTCACACGCGACTGGGTTTGCAGGCGATACATCTTTTCCGTAAGCGACACGCGAGACGTTGTTTATCGTAATGTTGCTATGGGAACAGTGCCCGATTGATTCCATTTAAAGCGCCCCTTCCTTGCGAAGGAGATGGCTAGTGGGGCTATAAAGAAGGTAGGAACTTTTTGGTGTGTATTACAAAGTGCATGATGGCAATATCCCGCAGGTGACAGGAATCACAGGCTTAGCTGTGGTGCCCAACGCCAGAGAGGTGAATTGAGGAGAGAGAATCGCCTCGTGTGTGCAGCTATAATTATGTCTACGTGTACAGGTGTTGTGTGGACTATACGCCAAGATACAAGCTGTTCTGCAGCAGATGCCCAAAGATGCTGCCTATCGGACCTACACACGTCAGATTGTTCAACAGAGACTGCAGATAGTGCAGGCTGTGAGTGGTTTTTGACCCCACGCTGGACATGTTTGTGGGAGTCCTCATTTCAGGAGACGAATATCAGTGCTATTGAGGAGAAGATTGGCTGTGGGCAGGTAGAGGAACTCATTGAGCAGGTAACGGCCACCCCACCCCCTGAGAGTTCACTTCTTCCTATCCTTCTCCCTGTCTCTAGGCAGAGAGAGAGCTGGCTCTAGCACACAAGATGGAGGAATGGGGGCCGTGGCAACCACTGGTGTCTGAGCCACCTCCTGGCCAGTGGAAATGGCCCTAGTGTTTAGTTTCTCTGTTGGTTTTAGAGAAGCATCATTATCATCATCTCGATCTCTCTGAGCGATGTTTGCAAGTGCGCATGCCCAGAGAGAGCTGGAGCGCCCGCCCGCGATGGAGTTGGCGGCGGAAGAGAAAGAGGCGGAGGCTCGTCGTCTGAGGAGCTGCTTTGTGGAGCAGCTGCAGGCACGGGCAGCTCGTGAGTGAGCAGAACTCTCGTCTGAGGACTGCTTCTCTCTGTGGATGCAGGCGCGGATGCTGCAGTCGAGAGAGAGCAGCTGCTATGCCAGAGACTGCGAGCTGACTTCGAGTACAACCTGCAGCTCGTGGAGGAGAGAGATGCAGAGCTGGCCAGGTACGAGGCTGCAGTGGCTGAACTCAGACAAGCAGTCAACTTACTAACTGCAGAGAGCAGTGAACTGAAGGTGAAAGTTTTGTTTTGTTTGTATGTATAATATTGTAGAGTACAATGTGCCTTCCTCTGCAGGTGTGTTTAGCAGAAAGAGAGGCAGAGCTAGACAGAGAAAGAAAGGAAAGGCAAGAAATGGTGGCCTGTCTACATGCAGAGATAGAGGAGAGGAGACGGACCGAGAGGGAGGTGGTAGACGAAGAGAGAAGAAGATGTGAGCAGACGAGGAGGGAACTGGAGGCAAGGCTGAGGAAGGTAGAGGGAGAAGTAGAGAGAACGAGAGTTGAGGTGACTGCTCAGTTTGAAGAAGAGGCTCACAGAACGCAGCAGCAGCACAGAACACAGGTAGCCATTTTGGGTATCTTTCTGTGATGAGTGTTGCTGGCAGGTTGAGCAGCTGGAGGGGACGGTAATGGAGGCTCAGTCTCAGGTGAAGTGTAAAGACAGAGAGTTGGAGCGGCTGAAACAGTGTCTCCTAGCAGCTGAGGCCGACAAGAAGTAAGTCGGTGAGCGATGTAAACAGTAGGGGCCTGACTGTGGTGTAAATGCAGGGGTCTAGAGGAGAGAATTGGCGAATTGGAGAGACAGAAAAGGGCTCGGGAGTGGGCGTGGCAGGACAGACTAGCTGCCATGGAGACAGACACTGGGAAAATAAGAGGAGAGTTGGAGCTGAGTTTGGAGAGATTGACAACTTCTCATTCTCACCTTCAGCACAAGTAGGTCATGTAGCTGTCAATAGAGAAACACTCAGCTACAACTGTTCACTATCCAAATTTCATAGTGTAATTTTGTGTGTGGATACTACTAAAACTTTCCAAATCATGAAAGCTTCCTTGCCACTGCAAAAAAAATGTCTGATGTATTTTCGCAAGTTTTATTATTTAAAACAGGTGCTGTGAGCTGGACCGACAGGCTAGGGAGAAAGCACAGTGTCTGCAGGTGGCCAAAGAGGTAAGACCAATTGTCTCTGCAGTGGTAAGGGAGACACTACATGTGCTGCAGTGTTGGGCAGAAAGAGAGAGAGAACTGGAGCTGAGGCTACGGCAGTTGCAGGCAGAGGGAGAGAGGGAGGAGGAGGAGAGGAGAGAGCAGATGGAACATAAGATTGATGAACTAAGGGCGAAAGATGCAGATATTGAAAAGGTGTGGTTACAGGGTGGAAAACGTAATGTGGCTTCTGAAGGTTTTCTCTATCAACTTTTGGACGAGCACCCTGCGAAATACGTTTGTGCAAGAGTGTGTGTTATGGTTGCTAGGCTGCAGAGGGATCTGGCTGGGAGGCAGGGGAAGGAGAGGGAGAAGGAGACGCTGCTGGCAGAGCTCTCATGCCAGCTGCATGCTCTAAAAGAAGAGAAAGAAGAGCTGCATTCCTCGCTCACCTCTGCAAGATCCGCTCTCATTAAGTGAGACTGAGAATAGAGACTTGGTGTGGTGATTGGTGGGTGTGGTCTGCAGGGCTGGGCAGACAGCGAGGCACAGGGAAGAGAGAGAGGAGGTGAGGGAGAGGGAATGGAGGGAGACAGTGAGGGAGGCAGAGAGACGGACCAGTGCCCGTTGCCAGAAATCCCTCAGATCTATCTCCCAAGACAGAGACAAGGTTTGTCCGTTTTATACTGCCACCTTGGCTACCTAGTTAAGGAAGAGCACTAAAGTGCGTACTGATTATCGATGAGCTATGTGTGTTTTATAGTCGTGCTAGTATATAGGTGCTAGGGCTAGCTCACAGAGAGTCTGACAGAGTTTTGGCAAGGTTGAAAAAAAATTTGCCCCAGCCCTCCATCTCTAAAAAACAATCATTATTACATCATTATAAAAAGACACCCGTACCGGTGGGATCGAACCGGACCTCACGATCAACACTGCGCTTCCTTACCCATCATACCACACCCAAGATTAGAGTCCCTCTTCCACTAGTTGGCTTCAGAGCTGAAAACCTTGAAGGAGGAGTTATCACAGCAACGGAAAACAATAGATGGAGTTATCAAGGAAAGGGATGTTGCCATAGCAACCCTAAACACTAACAACCTCTACCAACGCTATATTGATGGCCTTGCAGAGGTCAGAGGGCTTGAAACTAATTCACATGACATACCGTCACGTGAAATACTGAGTCAGCAGAATGAGCAGCTGCGTTTGGCCATTTCCTCAATGAGACAAGAACTGGAGCAACTTAGCGGTCGGCGTGGCTATGTGGCTCACCTAGAGCAGGAGTTGGTAAAGGTAAAGATGGAGAACAGAAGACTGAGAGGAGAGAGAAGGCCTCCCAGTGGCTCCCGCCAGGTCCTAGGGCTGGGAGAAGTTCTGGTGGGCCTCCAGAGAGACAAGAGAGTGGCGGAGGAGAAGGTGGAGAGACTGACAGGATCTCTGCTGGCAGCTGAGGCCATGTTGAAGGAGACACAGGAGCAGGTTTGTCAGAGAGAGAGAGAGAGAGAGAGAGAGAGGTTTGGTGGGGTGCACATCACACAGAAAGTAGTAGGAGAAATGGCATAGCAAGCATCCAGAAAGGTAGCTAGTTGGTAGAAAGTATAAGACTGAAGAATGACTACCAGTATTGTTTGTATTGGACATTCCATTGGCCATTCCATTGGCCACACACTAAGTGCAGGTGTTCCAGCTGAGGGCCCTGCAAGTTCCTCCTGTGAAATGCCAGCAAAAGCTTCTGCAAGCCACTCGCTCCATTCTGAGCCTTCTGAGAGAGAGAGACTACCTCCTAGCCTCACTTAGGACACTGCAGAGCTACCAGCAGACTGACGTGAAGACTGGGAATCAGCCAGAGACTGACGTGAAGACTAGGAATCAGCCAGAGACTGGCGCGAAGACTGGGAATCAGCCAGAGACTGACGCGAAGACTGGGAATCAGCCAGAGACTGACGCGAAGACTGGGAATCAGCCAGAGACTGATGCGAAGACTGGGAATCAGCCAGAGACTGACGCGAAGACTGGAACCTCTCCCCAAACTCTTCCCCTGCCCCAGCCTGCTGTTGACCTCTCACTCTCCAGTCTCCATTTCTCTGATTCTGAAGTGGAAGGTCAGAAGTCACTGGACCAGTTGATGGAGAATTGTCTGTCGTCCTCTCCGCCAGCTCCTGATCCTCATCCTCCACAGCAGTCAACACGGACCTCATCTTCTGGTCAGTGCCTCAGTCTAATAGGCGACTGCCTACTTATTATGACCATTGTGGGTTTCATCTGTAAAACATCTATATCCTGTCTCTATAGCTGCTGAGGTAGCTATGACGATGTTTGGACAGAATATGAAACTCATTCGGAGGAGGCCACGCCCCCAACAGAGAAGCCATGGAATTTTACCTGATCACCTGACATGATAATATGCATGAAATTATAGTTCATAGCATACCAGCCATAGGTATATTATATAGATAGATAGATAGATAGCATGTTCTGTTCAATGTTGAGGTCTTGAACTGCCATATAATTATATTATAATTTTTGAACACGCACACACAGAAGGCTTAAAAAAATTAGTGGCAAGTGAAGTTGATGATATATACAAAAGTAAAAACTGGCAGTAGCTGCCAGGAGAGGAAGAGATAGAAAGTCTCATGAGACGGAACAGCATGTAGAGCCAGGTGGTTTAAAATTATCCTTAGGTCTAGTGTGAGAAGAGTCCTTCCCCTCGTTGATTTTCAGTAGCTGTCTGACGATGGCCGTGAAGGCTTTCTCCACGTTGTGGCCTGTCTTGGCACTGACCTCTACTGGAGACAGAAACCCATAGGCATTCGCTACCTCCTGCACCTGTAGCCAGAGATATAAATTGGACTATAATATAGCTGTTGAGTAAAGCTATAAATCTCATAAAACCACCAAAATTTCAGAAGTTTTGTTAGCTAGCAAAGAATGCCTGCCATTCTCATTACAGAAAACACTGGGGGGAATAATAACACTAGAAGTGAAAGCATTTAGCAGAGAGAAAATGTGAGTTGTCTGGGTTCCCTGGCAAAAAAACTTTCACACAGCAAAACTGCCTCAAGAGCTGCCTGTTATACCTGTCTGAAGCTGACTATCTTCTGGTCCTCATCTCTACGATCTACTAGATCCTTCTTGTTGCCGACAAACAGGACAGGCATCCCCGCGTCCAGCTCATTCAGGAGGTAATAGTTGAGCTCCTTCGCCCAGTAGTCCACATCTGTCCACGTATCTTCCTATAACCATGGCAACGACTCAGACCACACCCACTGGTGTTAGCTTACATTGACAATGTCATATACCACTATCACTGCCTTTGTCTCTGCATAGAACCTGTTGGTAATACTCTGGTATCGTTCCTGGCCTGCAAAGATGAATGTAAGTGTTGGCTGGGAAGAGTGATACTGGCAATGCAGGGATGGAATAATATGTACGCTGAAACACAAACCAGCAGACAGTTTACCATTACAGAAGTCAGGTGTTCACCTGCAGTGTCCCATATTTTGAGGTGGACTTCCTGTCCATCTACTGTCACCACTTTATCCTTCTCTGCTATCAGAGTGGACATTCTCTCGCGGAACTGGTCGTGAACATATCTCATCACTAAACTCGTCTTCCCCACCGCCACTGCCCCTATCACAATTATCTGGGACCAGAGGAGTGGGCGTGGTCTCCGGCTAAAAGGATCTGCTCACTTACCTTGTACTCGTTCTGCTCTCGAAGATGTTCAGTGAGATTTGGTTCCATCGCTGCAAGAACTACACGTCTCAAAATACAATGAATTTTATACCTGCACGCAGATTTTTTAACAGGCTATAGCGCTAGGCCTGCCCGAAATTTGTTTGTTGGGAATTGCACGTGATGCAATGAATTGCGTCATTGTTTCTTACGTCATATTGAGCTAGCTTGGAGCTAAAATGGCCTCCGGCTGACTAAGGTTGTTTCTCGGCCTGTAGCCGTGTCCCGGCGTAGAAGAAAGCTCACCTCGGCACACTCGAGAGAGAAGAACAAATTCAGGAACTTGACCACCTGGCTCTGTACCGGAAAACCGAGAAAGCCCTTGTCGTAGACTGAAATCCACTCCCGCGCGCTGCCCTTCCGTTTCCGCTGAGCTGTGCAGTTGTCCGCAAGGAAGAACAGACCTACAGAGCTGAAGGTCTCTTTATTTGTTTGTGAAGTCGGTGAGAGGAGACGCAGACGATGGACGGGCGGCGCTACCTGCTGAAGGCGCAGTTGGAGAAGGAACGGCTGGAGTTGGAGAGAAAGAGGGAGGAAGAGGAGGCGCGGAGGAAGAAAGAGCTCGCTGGCGTGCACGAGTCAAGATCTATGGACGTCCCCTCTCCTCAGGGGAAGCCCCCTGCCGTTACTGTGGAGGTTCCAGCAGATATTATGCAGGTGGGCCTCCCTAGCAACAGAGAGGGAAGTGTGGAATGCAGTATGGATTGTGTAATGGAAAGAGAGATGTCTGTATTATCTGTGTGCAGGTCCGCAGCCAACTTGCTCATCCAACCAACTACCACGTGTCGGCCATACAGAAGAGACAAGTGTCGCAGTATTTGTCATCGCAGAGTCCTCACTTTGCCTCTCATAGCGCTCCCACACAACCTAACGCAGGATTTGGCCACTCCCACATGGCTGGCAACATGGCTTCTTTCAGTGTCCGCAAAGACCCTATGCTCAGCGGGGTGCCGAGTGCATCGCCACAGCAACGGAGCCCCGTCGGAACGTACGATGGAGGACAACTCAACGTTGGAGGTTCCCCGAGCCACGCGGGGATGCTCCTTGCCGGCTCTCCCTCTGGAGTGTTTGTTGGCGGGCCGCAGAACCTGGCTCTGAAACCAGAGAGTCCCACAATGATGGCCACCGAGACCCCAGAGAATGTTAGTCCCTTCCTGACTGAGTGCATTTTTCACTGTTTTATGGGAGGTATCTGGATGATTCTTGCAAGCAGTTCAATTAAGCGTGCCACTTTGCCTCTTGCCATGAATGTGTTGTGTAAAATGTGCCCCTGTCAGGAATGTGCAGAGTGTACATCGTTAACCCCGTACTCTCCTCCTCCCCCCACCACCACAGATCCAAGACCAGATCATTGAAGACATCATGAGCCTCGAGGAAAAGTTTGGAGATCCTTTGACGGCAGCTGACATGCAATTCCTCGACACCTCCCTTATGGCTCCTCAGACAGTGAGTGTGGTCAGTGGGTGCGGTCAACACAGTTCAAATTTTTTCTCTCTCAACAGTTGCCTCCTCCGAATCTGTTTGATTCGTATGGAATGATGGGCGGGGCAGGAGGCGGAGCCAACATGGGGCAGACTGGAATGATTAGCGGATCACCAAACCCTCCAATGATGATGCCTCAGATGTCAGCCTCTTGTCCCAACAATGTGCAAGACGACCACACCGGAATGCATGGTCAGTCTCCTACTACAGTAGTTTCCTTAATTATACAAGTGCAATGAAAAACCTCTGCATATCGAAAATTCCATTATTCAGAGGTTTCCCTTATTTGACACTACTGCCTTTTTGCAGAGGTTTTACTCTCTTTCTCTTTACGTCCAGGTCCAATGGACATGAAACTGGTTGAGAAAGAACGTCAGAAGAAAAACAACCACAACATGAGTACGTTTCCGTCAGTAAAAAACTACTGACTTTCATGTTGTCTTTCTGCAGTTGAGCGTCGACGAAGGTTCAACATCAATGACAGAATAAAGGAACTGGGGATGTTACTACCAACCTCAGACCAGTGAGCAACATGCAACCAAATGTGAAGCCACACCCACTCTTTCTCTTCTTTGCCCCACACAGAGATTTCAGACAGAACAAAGGAACCATTCTGAAGGCGAGTGTGGACTACATCAGGAGACTCCAGAGAGACATGGATAAATCCCGAGTGATGGACGCCAAGCAGCGGCAGCTCGAGGAGGCCAACAAGAAGATGAGACTGAGGATCCAGGAACTAGAGCTGACTGCACGAGCTCATGGGATCCCCACACCTTCCCTCAACCCTGAGACTCACCAACTGGCTGTGGCTGCAGACCAGAGCCTTGGTGAGTGGCTCACACACTCACAGGACTCCTCACTACCTCTCTGTCTTCATTCCCAGCAGGCGCAATCACGCCCCGCAGCAGGACGCCCACCAGTGCCTGTGTCACTCCGTTCAGAGAAGAGGAACTGGCTGATCTCCTAAGAACCAGCCCCTCCATCGACTTCTCAAGACTCAACATCAAACAGGAGTCGGTACGTATGTAATAGCAGCACTGCTGGTCCCCCAATACAAGTTGTTTCCAGATAAACGGTGACATTAATGGCTTTAAAGTTTTTAAAGTTCCTGCTAGACCTGCTGACTCGTCTCTCTCTGTGCAGCTGGACTCTCCGTCTGCAGCCACTGACAACTCGACCCAGTCTCCCCTGAAGTCCACTCCCTCCCCACACCCCCCTCCCACACAAGGCCACACCCATCCTACCTCCTCGTCAGGACACATGTTCAACTTTAGTTTCGCGAGGTCCCCAACCTCAGCCACTGGCCAACCAATGGACACTGGCATCAGACTCTTTGACCAAACATGACCTCTTTCTCTCTCGCGCTCTCTCTCTCTCTCTCCTCCCCCTCTTCAGCTCTCGCTGGTTTTGTATTGCAGCAGCGCAGAGAGATTATAGTGGGAGTGGTTTATTACGTCATTGTTTTGAACATTATTGCAGCGTACACGCGTACGTTGTTTGGCGGCCAAAGCTTCGGAAAAGAGAAGTTCGGAGGAGATACAGCCTAAACTAAGGAGACTTGGAGAAGGCGCCAGGACAGACGTAAGGCTTTGCAGAAACTTCGTGGAGATTACTTTCTACGAAAACAAAATACTGAACTGACTAAAGCTTTGGAACGTGAAGCAGGTTATCTGCCAGAAACGTGTGATGGAGTGAGTAAGTCTGTGGACCTGTAGCCACTGGAGAACTTGTCCTAGACTTCCAGAACTGAGGATAAGGAGCAGGGATATCCAGGAGCAGTAGTAGAGTAAGGGAGTCACGTGACACGGGACTGGTGTAGAACGTAGTAGAATGAATGGTCATTGTGGAAACGGAGGGACGATGGGTTTGAGAGGCGAACTGTTCGGAGATGTGGGGAGGAAAGAATGGAGCGAGGAGGCCCTGCGTCGCCTGGTGCACATCGAGGAGCATCCGAATGGAGGAGCCAGTGTTGTACATGTCTACCAGGACGAGCTTGACCGCCTGTTGCCACGGGAGCAGACCAAGGATCTTTCTGAGATCTTTTTCAGGTAAGTCACACCCTAAACCACGCCCACATCCTGTTCCAAGTAGTTTTTTTATACAGAGAGGTGTTCCGGGAGTCGTCCTCCGGTGTGGCTGATCATGTGATGGGTGTGGTCCATGGGGCAGTTGGCTACCTGCCAGAGATGGTCCAATACCTCTCCACCATGCACCCTGACCTCTCCGTGAAGGCCGGTGAGTCCCAACTCTTCTGGTCATGTGACAGTCATGTGACTGTGGGCCTAGGTCACCTGAGGAAGTCTGAGGTGGAAAGTATGAGAATGGAGGAGTATGCAGCAAACGTGGCATCCACATACTGCCAGGGAACCTTCAGGACTGGGCCTCTGCAGCAGGTGTCTCTGGTGGGGCAGGTGGCAGAGGAGAGTGGCGGATTTCTGTCCGACGTTCTCGGTCAGTCTGCTTGCTGCATTCTCTGATCTGTTATTTATCCTCTCTTTACCCCCAGATCTGTTGGAAGAGAATCCTTTCCTAGCGATGGCGTTGCCATGGGGATCACTGTCGGCGCTCGACCTCAAGTCTCGTAGTCATAGTGACGATGGTCCGATACTGTGGGTGAGGCCAGGAGAGCAGCTGGTGCCCACTGCAGACCACAGCAGACAGGGGACCCCCAGGAAGAAGAGAATGTTAGTATCTTCTTCTGCCTCTCGCAGCAGATGTGTACGTATGACCTCCTCTTGGTATTTTTAGCGAGCAACAATTGGCAGTTCTACTATCTGAGTGCCTGTTTACATTCCCCAATCCTCACTCTCCCCCAGACAAGCCAATGAGCTGCAGAGTCTGTTGTATGGTCCGAGGATGAACGAGAAGAGAGAGACGCTGTTCGAGGACAGGACTCACTGCCATGCTGACTACATCCATGCTGGCCACGCCTCTCAAGACACCACCGCTGCCGTTGGTGTCCTCAAGAGAGTTCACCTTGGAGATGAGAGGTTCGTGTACAGCATACCAAGTTTCACAAATTTGACGCCACCACAGGCTTTTCCACAAGTCCTTTTGCACCACTGTTCAACCCACATGCAAGAGCCTGAATTGCTCTAAGTTTTTCTCCCCCTAAAGTTTCTTGCTTTATATTACAGTGCATGATTATAGTTATAGTATAGTGTCCAGCTAAACAAACCGAACAAGTTTATGTTGAGCTACAAAAAGGTACCACTAAGCTACAAGTTGCAACAGAGTTATTGATGGAATGTCATTGTGGAGCACTATTGCTAGGCCAGAGATGTATGTGAGGGAGTGGTGCAGTCCACCAGGCCAACTAGGCCCCAGCAGCTACATACAGTATCTTCAGTAGAAACACCAGAGCATTTATAGGTCATTGCATGATGCAATAGAGCACAGAATGTTTTCAGTACAAATGTGGAGGGACAGCAAACTATCCTACAGACAGTTGGTGCAAACATTGCGTATAGGAAATAATCTGTTGGCAAACCTCTCCCCAGGGAGGAATCTCCTCGCTGTGAGTTGAAAGATGTCATATGTTTCCATGCGGCAGACTTCACTGAGGTTGCTATGAGACTGCAGCTGGACTTATACGAACCTCCGATGTCTCAGGTACTGTACGTCAGCCTTTACGTACTCCTTACCACTCACCACCTCCCCTGCAGTGCCGGCAGTGGGTGGAGGAAGCCAAATTGAACCAATTACGCAGAGACGGCATCCGCTACGCTCACTTTCGTCTCCATGATGGTGACATCTACTTCGTTCCTCGTAATATCATACACCAGTTCCGAACGGTGTCTGCAAGTACCAGCATCGCCTGGCATCTTCGCCTTCGTCAGTATAGTTCTTCATCTCCCGTGAGTTTTAGTCTCTCTCTCTTGTCTCGCTGGCAGCTCAATAATACTCTGCAACATTTTGTGTAATGGTTCCTTGTTTGAGGACAACTAACATACTGTACATGTTCTCTTGGCATCACATGGTATTTTCTACATGTGATCATGTCAGGCCCGCGATGAGTAACTGCTGCACACTATAGGCAAAGTTTTCAAATAATGCCCACCACTTCATTCTTCAATTCTGTCTAGACACAGGAGGTGGTGGGTGTGAAAGAAGAGGACGAGGAGAAGGAGAGGAATGAAGGGGGAGGGGGAGGGTCGAGCAGTGGAGCCGAGGAGATGAACCGTCTGAGAGACGCAGATCACATCTCATTCTCCTACTCTTCCGATGAGGACTTTCTCCCACACCACATAACCACACCCACTGGGCCCAACAAAAAGCCCCACAATGATACCGAAGAGGAGACGAAGCCATACAATGGGTGGCCTGGTCGAGATTTGACCTCTGACCTTGAGGTAGAGCGCGAGAAGAGACGATCAGACTCTCTCAGTCTGGATCAGAGAAGACGTAGACTCTGCTCTATCACTCCTCGTGCCCCACTGGCCACACCCACCCTGACCACACCCCCTTCATCAACTGGCAACAGCGAGTTGCCAAGGCAACCAGTATCACCAGGGTTACCACAACGATCATCACACTCCCCATCGCGCAAATTTCACAGTTCGTCTCTTTCAGAGTCACAGACTAATTCTTCTGCCCCACATTCCAAAAGTCTTTCCCCTGGTCCACAATCCAGAAAAACCCATTCCCCCATTCACAGTCCATGGGTGGATGATGACTTTAGTGATAGTGACAGTAGTTCAGAAACCTGGCAACCAACCGGAGGTGACGTACAGAGGAGGAAGAGGAGAGAACACAAGGAGAGCAAGAGGAAGAGGGAGAGGAAGGAGGGAAAGAGAGAAAAACTGAAGAACTCACACTCAGTGGGGCCAGGGAGACCAGCCAAAATGGAAAGACAAACAGAACTGAGAGAATCGTCAGACGAAGACGAGCAGATTCTCAGACAACTGAAGAGAAAAGTGCAGGAGGCAACGGAGCAGGGCAAAATGACATCACATGATGTCACAGAGAGCGAGGGCGAAGGAGGGAAGGGAAATGATTCTGACGAGGTAAAGGGGAAGTCCCTGGAGGAAGAGCTGGCAATTACATCATCAAGTGAAAGCGACAATGGGAAAGAGGAGAGGGAGTTGGGGGAGGTGGGGGTGGGGGGTAAGGCCCGCTCCAAGAGGCAACTTCTGTCTTCATCAGAAAGTGATTCTGATTGTCAGGATAGCAGACAGAGGGCTACTAAACCTAATAAACCTGCTGAGCGTAGCCGCGTTCCACAGAAGTCTTCAGATCCTGTGCCTCCATCCTCCAGATCAGTAAAGTCAGCGCTGAAGAGAAGTCCACCACAAACCACACCCACTTCCTCTCCGGCGAAGAAGCTTCGACTTGTGGACATTGACTTCACTGGAGGCAGAATGAAACTACCTCCCTCAAGACCCCAGCCCCGTCCCAGTCCCAGCAAGTCCCGGTTCAATTCCGACAGGGCTGGAATGGGGACTCAGAGAAAGCTGGCACCAGTTCCAGCTAATGCCAGCAATATCCTGAAGTCCAAGCCACTCCCCCGACCACACCCATCAATCAAGAGACCGTCCCGCGACAAGCGAGCTCCACCAGCCAGCAAAGACGCAGTTCTTGCAGCCAAATTCCCTCAGAAAAGGAAACTCCTAGACGCACCTCCTGCGGCACACAAAAACAGCAAACTCAAACATTCCACCCTTAGACACTTGTAGCCACACCCATTTTCTCAAAGATCACACCAACTTTATTATACTCCATAAAATGTCATCTTATTTACAGAGAATTGATGTTTGTGTTTGTCTGGGCCGAGCCCCAGTCACAAGTTCTTCCAATTTTTTGACTGAGTACATCTGAGAACGTTGCAGTGTAGTGGCAGGGGTAGTTCATGGAGAAATGGAGGGAAAGAGACACCGATGGTCCAGTCTCTATTCTGGTCTCGTGTTCCCAACCTGGGAACCAGACCAGAGCGTCTCCTGGACCCAGAACCACCTCCTGCGGTACCAGCACCTGAAACAACATCAATAGATTATACCACAATGCAACTTTGCAGCCTTACAAAGGCAATGACAAGTATTTTACAGACTGATTATAAGGGTGATAACAAACATTTTCCAGACTGGAAAGAGCATTGAGAGGCTGGAATGTACTATTTGAACATGTCTTTTGTCCAACAGCAATGTACTGTGATCACTCCCTTGATGACTTGCCTGTCCCCAGTCAGGGTGGCTGGAGATGGGAGGGTAAAGTCGCCACTTCTTGGACCCTCTCACCTGCACAGACACCCTCCCAGTGCACGTGAGGTCAACATGTCTCTTGGCACCACAGGGAGGTTGTCCCCAGTGGATCCACTCATTACCTGGGCAACACAATACATTTGTTCCTCGCATGATCATCAACAGTATGCCACAATCACATCATGCAAGGGTGGATGTGAAAGTAATTATATGCACATGTGCATAAAATCATCATCCCCACTTGCGCGTATCAAGATTGCTTTCATGGATAGAAAAAGGTCTGGGTATAATAGCACGGACACTGAATGTAAGCAGACGATAAGAAGCTGTCCTACCTTGCAGCCTAAGCTGGTCAGGAATAAAGGAAGGATATTCATAGTCCCTAGCAACCATGGCTGCTAGGGTCTGACTGTTAAGAAAGATGCCATAATAGATGGCCTTATTAGGATAGTCATCATCAAACTGCGGAAGTTCAGTAGTTGAAAATGTTGACGAGAAAAGATCGTGATTTTTGAACATGTGCTGAAAGTAGGTATGGCTCCAAAGCCTTGTTGCCGGCCAGTCGTTACTAACAGACGTCACTAAAAAGGGCTGGCCCCAGTTCATAAAGTCTGCCACACGCTCTGGGGAGAGAGCGTCGGGCACCACGTGATACCCCGTCTTATTCGACATGTCTTTTACATAGCAGAACACCGAGGTCTCGGAGCCGTCTCTGTCGTTGTAATGGACACTGGGGAACCATACAGTCGCCAGTGTCGCTAGGACACTTGCTGCGGTCAGCCTTCTCCGCAACATGGCGTGCGCGTATACGCGTATATTATACGTGTATATGTATTATAGCGCGCATGCGCGGCGCTCTCAAGCCACACACACACACCCGCTCAGATCAGACTTTCATCCAGGTTTAGAGAGTGAGGTAACAAAATATCATCTTCTAGCAACTGTATATATTATAATGATATTATATATAATATACTTTTATCCGCATTCTTCTTACGCTACATGATCTGCATTATCTTTACCCCAATTAATTTTTTTAGAAGTAGTATGCCTACGAAAGCTATTGAATATTGCCCTTATACGTATGTTGGGAGGGCCAGAAAGAAAGGGCAATATTCAATAGCTGTTGTAGGCATACTATTTCGAAAAACATTAAAAAGAACAAGACATTAGCTAGCTCTGCCCTATGTTACCTAATATCATGTTCCTTTTTTTTCGAAATAGTAGGCTCACGGCAGTTATAATGTCATGTTCATTTTAACTACATTTCCTTTAAGAATTCTCTTACCCTAATTCCACTCCCACCAATTACCCACACTCCTCTTACCCCAATTACAAACATTTTTACTCCAATTACCACATTCCTCTTACCCAATTACAAACATTCCCCTTACCCCAATTGCAAAACATTTTTACCCCAATTACCACATTCCTCTTTTACCACATTCCTCTACCCCAATTACAAAACATTATTGTTACTCCAATTACCACATTACCCCAATTACCACATTCCTCTTACTCCAATTACAAAACATTCCCCCTTACCCCAATTACAAAACATTTTTACACATTCCTCTTACCCCAATTACAAACATTCCCCCTTACCCCAATTACAAAACATTTTTCCACATTCCTCGTTGAATCGTTATGGAAGGAGTTCAGGGACGTTTGCGGGTAATATTGCTCTTCTGACACGTATTCGGTTGTTTAGTTCGCGTCGTTGGGACCCACGATGAATGCTGAACGGGAAATTCTTCAATTTACTCCCTCATTCTCTAGGTGCTAGGTTGGTTGTAGTGTATGAGAAGGATATGCGGCGTTTGAAACTTCCCGCCATTACCGACAACATTTTAACTCGATTACCACTTCCTTTACCCCAATTACCACATTCCTCTACACATTTTCTTTTGTTAAATGCATCGTTGGTATTCTCTCTTTCTTCTTGGTTTTCATCTCTTGTTTCCTCTGGTCTCCTTATTTTATTTGCTCCTTATCTCCTTACCTTCTTATGCTTAACTTTTCATAAGCTGTGTCTTATCCTTCGTTCTCTCTGTTTCGTCGTTCCTACTGTGCCGCTCCGGCTACACAGATATATGCGCGACTATCATCGAGTGAGACATGGAATGTCATGGGGCCTGACCCGTAAGGAGATAAATTGTTGTGCGTACACAGCGCGGGAGGTAGAAGGCAGGCGTGGATTGTTCATACTTCAGCCAGGTCGGGGGATGGTAATTTTATCGAGCTAGAGGAGTAAAAGGGTATGAGAGCTGGGGTGGAGAGGACCTAAATGTCAAAGGAGGTGCGGAGAATGTGAAGTGGGGAGCGGGAAATGGGGGAAGCATGTGGGGGCAGGGATTTAAGGATGCAAGGTGCAGGGGTGCGATAAGTGGTGACGAGGAAAATATTCAATTACAAACATTTTCCCCCAATTACCACATTCCTCTTTTACCACATTCCTCTACCCCAATTACCACATTACCCCAATTACCACATTCCTCTTACTCCAATTACAAAACATTCCCCTTTACCCCAATTACAAGACATTTTTACCATCACATTCCTCTTACCTCCAATTACAAAACATTTTTTACCACATTCCTCTTACCCCAATTACAAAACATTTTTACTCCGATTACCACATTCCTCTTACCCCTATTACAAAACATTTTTACTCCGATTACCACATTCCTCTTACCCCAATTACAAAACATTTTTACTTACCACATTCTCCTTACCCCTATTACAAACTTTATTTTTACCCCAATTGCCACATTCCCCTTACCCCAATTCCCAACCTTTCATCACCCCCCACTGGTACTGGTATTTCCGTTACCCCAATCACCCAAATTTTTCTACTCACAAGCACATCAAAACGCGCCTGAAATCTGATTGGTCCATGAAAAAACACAATACCTTCTCAAAAACGTAGTTAGGTTGGTGACTAGGTTTGCACAGGCCAAGGTGACACCTAACAGTGTTTCAGGCCAAATGTGAGAATAAGTGTCAACAGTAATTTCAGGAAATTTGTTTCAATAAGCATATATACATCACCCTCAACAAGACATAATACCATTAAAAAAGAATTAGTCTTGAATTTTGTTAGCAGTCATGTGGATGGCTTGCTCTTGGCAGGTCTAGGTGGGGGGTGGGGATCTACGGGGAAAAAACACACTCATACACCAGCGGGATATTTTCGCCTGTGCTGAATTTCGTGATAATAATTCGCCTCAGGGGCCTTCAGAAGAAAGTTTTAATTTTCACACTGGTTGGTCATGAGCATTCCCATTTCACTTGTCCACCACCACGCGCATGCTGAGAGGGCGGGTGGTGCTTGCAGCTTGTGTACTTGTCATTGCGACACAACTGGCAGCCTTTTCTAGCTTCTGATCACGCGGGATTTGACCTGCCTGGGCCCGAACAACAAAGGCTTTTCAGGATTTTTATTCTGCAACGCAGTCCGTGATATTTTGCACCACACGAAAATTTCCCACTCAAAGCATATCACTATCATAATAGCATGGGAGATAGGTGCAGCGAGATAGGCACCGGGACGGCAAGATAAGGCCAGATGGAGGTATGAGTAGTGAGTATATTAACCAGATTCCTTGGGTGGGGGAACAGGTTTTGTGGCAGGTTTGGCAGGAAGAGCAGGTTTTGGAGGTAAAAAAGGAGCCCCTGGTTTTGGGGGTCGCGAAGGTACAACCGGTACAGTGGAGTCGCGGGGTGGGGTACCCCGAGGTACAAGCACTGGTGCCGGCTGCTGGCTCTCTGTGGCTGCAGATAGAGAGGGGGGATGCAGTATGGTGTGGGGTACAACTCCACACACACCAGTTCGTGGTCTGGGAATTGGTTTATCAGGAGTGGGCGGGGCATCCTCTGGCACGGAAACCTGTCTTGGTGGAGGTTTGTTTTTCTTCATGGGCACTGGAGGTGGTACCACATCAGGACCTGCCACCTGCGGTGGAGAGAGAGAGACAAGATGGACTCCCACAGTTTTGGAGGCTCACTGCAGTTGGTTTAGGGGGGAGTGGTCCCACAAGATGATCAAAATACACATTATCATCGACCCCTCCTGTCGGCGGGGCTGGTGGGTGTGGTTTAGTCGGTGGGAGTGGCTCAGCCAAATGATTGAAATACACCTGCAAAAGATATTCAAATGTCAGTGAATACTGTGGACTATGCATTACATCATCATCAGTGGGTGGAGCTCCAGGTGAGGGGGAATGGCCGGGAGAGACTCGAGGGGAATCCCCCTTGTTAACGGTGAGATTATTGTAAGTGTCATCATCAGAAGCTCCACTGGTGGGCGGAGCTGATGGAGACAGTCGAGAAAAATACACATCTTCCTGTGAGAAGATAATAGCACCGATTATTTCGTGGGTAAGAAATTAGGTATCGGAGTCATAAGTTGGCAAAAAATACTTGCACCTTCAAAACAAATTGCATGTGGCATGCAGGATTGGTTTGGAGAAAGAAAAAAGGAGCGAGCGAGGCGGAGACCTGGACAGGGGCTGGTATCTTGGGAGGAGAGCCTCTCCATTTGCTGGTGTCAGGTTCAGAGTAAGGAGCACTCCTCCTTCTCTTCGGAGGGAGGGTTGGCCTCTTCTCCCCCGTGTCCTCCAGCACTCTGCCAGCCACGCGAGGTGTCGGTGGAGACGGAGGAGGAGTCACTGGGACTGGTCTGGTTGAAGGACTGGTGCCAAATGGAGGAAGTTGTGGTGCTTGCTGCTGAGGACTCGTGCCACCAACTGATGGTCTCTTCTTGGCAATGGGGGATTTCCCCCAGATATCTTCCTGTGGGGCTTCGTGTCCCCTCTGCACCTCTCCTCCCTCCATTTTCACTGGAGTGTAGTCATGATCCGGGCGCTTGCCCCCCTGTCTTGAGGGAACGTATGATGGAGGGGGGCCTATAATTATGGCCCCCGAGGAGTCGCGGCGAAGGAAATCATCAACACTTTCATATGCTCCTCCATCTTCTTCCTCAGATATGGCAGATCCCTCGCGAGAACCTGTGAGGAGCAAAAGGTGAATCTTTGAACAGACATCAAAACTGTTCTCACCAGAACCACTGAGTCTCTTTGTCTCCACGGGGAGCTCTGGTTTCCGTGGCAAATATGGCAGAGGGAGTTTGGGGGATTCCCCATTGGTTACCTTGGTAGTGGCACTCCTCTGCAGTCCCATTGGGTTGGGAGGACTCTCGGAGAGCTGGCTGACTCTGTTCCTGTTCTTCCCAGTCAGGCGCCTGCGAGGAGCAGCCATTGTCTGACTGTGACTGGAGAGAGGGAAGACAGAGCAACAATTTTACACATGTTTCTTTGTGAGACAAGCTCACGTTGATGGAGGTTCGCTCTGAGGGATTGGAGGAAGAGGAGCTCTGACAGTCAGGGACCTCACCGGCTGCAGAGGACAATGAATACCACAGGCAGTGCATGTGTCACAGCATATCAGACACACACAAACGTGTTCAGTGACTACCTTCTTCCTTCTCTCAGGGAACACCTCAAACACCATCATCTCCAGCTTCTCTTCCAGATTCTGCTGCATTCCTTTCAGAGCTGGCGTAATTCTCTTCCCGTGAACATCCAGTCCCTTCCTCAGTACTGACAGCTGCAGGCACAGTCACACACTCTCATTCTCAACCCCATACCCCCATACACTCATACTGCCATATTCCCATAGCCCCATTCCCTCGTACTCTCACGTCGCACCTGTTCCTCAATGAGTTGCTTCAGTTGTTGCACTCTCTCCTGGTCGCCAGGGTGACTGGCGGAATACTCAGGGTTAAAGAACACAATTCGATAGTTCTTTATTCCCCCGCCAACGGCAGCATCGATCAGTCCACTTAGCAACATTGATAGAGGGTTGATGTTCAGACTGCGGTTCTCCATGTGGAGAGCCGTCAGCGTTCGAACCTCCACTGTCTTGGAGCTCACCGTCTCTATGGCGATGGCCAGCGGGTCGAGCTCAACCTGCAGAGGTCAGAGTACACCGGTGGGTGAGAGCAAGGGAGAGGAGAAAATACCAGTTCCATTGATGCCACTTCAAACCAGGCCATCTCTCCAGGGAACGGCTTGGTTGCCACATAGTTTGTTCTCTCCAGCCACAAAGTCTGGAGAAAAACATGAATACAGTGTGAAAGGGGTTATTTAATGCTCTAGAAGAACACTTACTGCAATTTCGCAATCCTTGCGTTTCTCTCCACGATGGAATGGGCGATCGTAGCGGAACTTTGACACATCGTTGGCCTTGTAGTACCTGTACGAGTGGGTGTGGTCAGAGGAAAGTGGGCGGGGTCAGTGGGTGTGGTAGTTGTACGTACCTGGATACGGAGTCAGGGACAGTTTTCCCCTCAAATCTCTTCATTTCCTCGGGAATGGCTTGGACACTTCGCACCTGCAGGTCTGGGGGACTAGGCTAAGGCATATTACATACTCCCAGAAGGATTACTAGAATGCTGTATGGATTACTAGAATGGCGTAAGACATTACTAGAAAGGGGTATACATTGATGTATTGGATACACATTCCAGCAGAGTTCTTAATTTCGTCTTCTGGAGGTTTGGTTCCCTTCAGCAGCTGCACAGGGAGTGATGTAGCAAGTATGTAATGACACATACAGGCAGAAGAAAAGGGCACACCTCAGCAGTGGAGTATTCATCAGTGAGTCTCTTGATGAAGGAAGCCAGTCTCTCATATGGCAGACCTCTGTGAATGAAGATCTTGTTCTGGGAGACAGAGAGAGAGAGAGAGAAGAGAGTTGGTCATTAGAGAAATGGAGGGTGTGCGGGACTGGCGTACTCTGAGGAAAAGGGGAAACCCCTTCCCGTAAGATCCCACCATGAAGTATTCAGGCTCCACCCTCAGCTCACGAACTATCTTCTGGAAGAACTCCGCCTCTCGTTGCTAGGGAGATACATGGTAAACAACATCACCATGGAAACAGGAAGGTGGTGCTCACAAGAGTAGCGGCAAGTTCGTTGTACTGTATCTCTGTCTCGTAGAGAGTGCAGAGTTCCTTGCAGAGAGGAATGCCATGCTCCCAGGCTTGTCCTCGATCAAACAGACCTATCACCTTCACACACACACACACAGACAGACAGAGAGACAGACAGAACAGTGCTATGGTACATGAGGAAGTCGAGAATCATTTACCTCTTTGTACAGCTCTTCCTTGACTTTCCTCTGCTCAATTTCTTCTGAAAACTTACCTTCTGGAGGTACAGGCTCAATGGACCACTGCAACACAAAGTAGGAGGGTCAGACGGCAATATCAGTATTGGGGCATTGGGCACATCGAATAGGGCTTGAGAGTTTGCGAACTTACACCAACCATTTCTACTAATATACTACTCAAAATTTAAGTTGTTGTGTGTAGCAGAGTGGGGACAGACCTCCAAGCCCTTTGCCCGGAGAAGAAGGGTGAAGCCAGCCTCAGTAAACCTCTGATCCTTCACGTGGAGCTCTGCCAACTTGTAGATGTAGCGAATATAGAGCTCTTCCTTCTCAATCTCCAGATAGAAATTCTGTGGACGGCAATCCGTGAATGGGACATCCCATCGGTGGATTGGACAACTCACCAGAAGATTGAGCATACACCCCATCTGGCGATCCTGGTGTCCGTCACCACTGGATACGTTGCGGTAGTCTAGCAACAGTCCAATCAGCCTACCAACTGAAGTAATGAACGTCTCGCCTGATGTTCCCAGCTCGCTAGAGGCACAGAGTGGGCGAAGTCTGGGAAGATATGGGTTAAAATACATTAGGTGTGGTGGGTGTGGCTACATACATATCCTGGAAGAGTTCGCGATATTCTTCGTCTCCATGACCACTGGTTATCAGTTCGTCAATCTTATCATACACTTCAGTCTCAACCTGAAAGAGGAGAAGAAGGGGGGGAGAAGTTAGCAGCTGTTATTACTGGTTCGGAGAAGGCAACTGACCCTCTTGAAGTTGCAGCTAGCTCTCTGCTCACACTCCATGATGTCCATGATGAGAGGAAGGGAAACACGGCGAAGTTCTGAGAATGAAGCAGCTGTCAGTGAGACCAGAACAGGACGGTCGGAAGTTTGAACTCTGACCTTTGTGTTTGATGAGTGATATCTCAAGGAATGGCTTAACGAGATTGGGAATGAAATTTCCTTTCTTGTCGCCAAGTCTGTGCCACAGGCTGACAACATGGCGACCTAGACTTATCCTTACATCACTGTACCTGTTACCATGCAAAGTGGAAGAAGGGAGAAGTATTAATAGAACCATTCCTACTGTAACATGTATTAATAGAACCATTCTTACTGTAACATGTATTTTTCATTTCCACGAACTAACTTAGTACTATACTGTAGTCATGAAGGGTGAGTGTGTAGTTGGGCCTCCACTAATGTTTTACATCACCAGAAAGAAGGGAGGACTGACTGTTGTTTGTAAGAGTGGCTGCGATAGTCTGACAGCTCTCC